ATTTAGCCTGACAAGTTCTTAAATTGTTGGTTCTTATATGCAAACTTTTAGTTACAATTAGGGTGAAAAAATATACTAGTAATTATTAGTTGAGTTTGTTTACATCATATAAGTTTCTGTGATCAAAATGTTTTATAAACTAAATGTCATAGGCGGTGTTTATATGGAGGCGAGTCAGACCGGTTACCTGAGCTAGTTTAATGAGGGTCCTGAAGAGGGGGTCCCAATCCCATTTCCCACCTGAAATTTTGGCAAAATCCCAGTCCCAGTTGGATTTTTATTAGAAATCCCAGTCCCAGTTATTGAAATCCCAGTCAATAAAAAACCCTTTATTTATCGGTAGAATAAACAGTTTTAAGACCTTTTAAGCAAGTGGTGGACACTTTATGAAATCTTAGGGGGGGGGGGGCTCGTGCCGAAGGCACGGAAATTTTTTTAATTTGAATCCCAGAAATAGCATTTGCAGCATTCTGAGACACGCATAATCAGAAAACCCAGATTCCGGGCACCAGAGTATGCCTGTTCGCAGGTAGTGCTGTGAATAATATAGTTAACAACAACAAGAAAATATTTTTTTAAAAAAAGAAATAATGTTTCGTTCCAATAGAATTATAGAAATACCAAACGTCTGTAATTAGCGGTTGTGACCATAGATCACTTGTATATGTCGAGCAATGAAATTGGTTCATTTTGTGAGGCGGGCGGGTTCTGGTAATTTTTTGCATGTCAAGTATAAATTTTCATTACCTTGAGGAGCCGAGCGGTCCAGAAATACAGTAGTAGTATTTAAAATGAAGAAAAGCAAAGAAAACTATATAATAAATATATACCGCTATTGGCGCTTGAATACTTCAAATATAAATCATCGTGCCTGTAGATTTAACCTGAAGTTCAGGCCCTAAGATTTTGATTGGTTGCAAGTTCACATAAACAACAGTTTTAAAAATAGCTCGGTCAAGGGCTCAAGGGGACAATAATAATATAAAGGTCCAACCCACGTAACAAATCCATTATCGGTTTCTCGAATTTCTTTTCTTTTATGCTTTATGGCGGAAAATAAATCAAACAAATAGTATTTTGAAAGGTCTTTATCAAAATCTTTGACGAATTTTGGACACACGACGCTGAAAGAACAGCCAAACTAGTCATGTATTCGAAAGCTTGTTGTTGACAGCCAATTGGTATGTTCTGCCAACTGGCTTCGCCGGCAAAAGTCTTATTTTTAATATCAGGTCCTACCGGCGTTGTTTTCTGAGCTACATCGCCTTCTTCGTGGTACGATTGAGAATTTTATTGTTGCTGTTGTTAGCCCGTTAGAGTATATCCCTGGTATATCCGCGTCCAGCAAGTTGAAACCAGTTGAGAAAGCTTGGCAGTCAAGCCGTACACAGAACTGACTAATTGAATCTTTGTTTGCTGTTCGGTTAAATAGAGAAACGGACTCTTAATTACATAAAAGTGCCTTGAATTTTTAAGTTTAATTAAAAAGCAAAATGCACACTCTGCGGACATGTTCATGAGAATATAAATTTTTTGTGTAACGAAATCTACAACACTTGTCAATCATATTGCATGCTGTGTCTAAAAATAACATGTGGGGGCGTCCCACGGTCTAGACAGGTTTTGTGTCAGGCCCTATTTAAAATTAGGGCCTGAACTTCAGGTTAAGTTGCCATGTTCTCATAGGTTGACATATAATTAACTAAGATTTCCGATTATACGCCACGCCTCCAAAAAATTTCTTATGCTAGGAGCGGTCATCTCATTGGACGATTCTAAATGTAATTGACGTTTAAGCAAGAATACTGGCAAAGGATTGGATAACTTTGATCTCTGACGTCACTTTCCTGTGATATTGCTCGAAACCAAATACAGTACCGTTTCGTTCCTGCGGGGAACGAAACAAAAATCATGACCAAAGACGGATCAAAATTGTACTTTAAAATACTCAAAACGCAGAAAAATTGGGAATCGACTCGCATTACCTCAATCCCATTCCCATTTTTGAGGACTTCATTTCCCATTCCCAGTGGCCAAATCCCAGTCCCAGCGACCCAAATCCCATTTTCCCAGTCTAAAAATTGATCAATCCCAGTTCCCATTTTACCCCTTCACGGCCCTCTTTAATGTATTAACTTCACCACATAGTCTTAACAGTAATTACAAAGTAATAATTTAGTGAATTAACTAAAAGACTATACGGCAGGGTATTATATAATATATCAGGGTACCCGAGCTAAGCGGCTTTGCCGAACTGATTTTATTCTGTGGCGGGCTGACTCACCAAAACAATTAATTTTTAAAATTATAGATCAAATGTCTTACTTACAACAATATATTCATATTCAGCGGCTTAGGCGTGCCAGCACACCTAGGCGAGATCTGTTTGGGCTTCACAAATTAAGCAAAATCTCGCTTAGGCAAGCCAGCCTGGTTCCCATCAACCCATGTTCCCATATAAACACAATATGAATATTATAAACGGTTAAATGCTTTGATCAAATTAAAATACACTTTGATCAGAGAAACTTTTTGTGTGTTTCTATTAAGTGAGCACAAGTTGTCCATGAGAAGACAGTCAAAGACAGTAAAGCACGGTCAAGTAGATTAATTTATATTATTTATCACTCTGACAATAAACACTATATAAACAGCCATCCAAAACATGTTGACTCCAAATTGCTCATTAACACTTTTTCATTGACAACAACTACTCACGAGTATCATATCTTTAGGCCTTAATTATATCGTGGGTTTCAGTTTGTAAATAAAAGAGATAGAACAGTTCGTATGTAAAGTGTATTAAAATAGTAAATGAAGAGAATTTTATAGTCATTAAAACCTCGATTGATGGGCTTCAACAAGCGATTTCACTGAAGGATCCACAGTGAAGGGAGTGAATAGCAGCCATGCTGGGTGAAATGTCCAATCCTTCTTGGATTCTTTTCTTGAAAACCTTTAGTAGAAGCTTGAGGATGTAGGTATATGCGTATATCATGGGGAAACGCAGACAGAAATGGCACGCTCTCCATCGAAGAAAACAATGAAGTAGATACACTTTGATACACTTTGCAAGCATCCCTGCTAGCGTAGTATTCTTTCCTACTCGTCATGTTGCCTCAAAAACTCGTTATTTGACGGATTGTCGCTCAAAAAAGCTAAATATATTTTGGAAACTTCTGGCTTCACTCCTTCGCTTGCGAAAAAAACAACGCACGTGTTATTGCCAGAAATGAGACTGGACCGAGTATAAACCGAGCTGCCAACTTTCGGTGGAGTCCCCAGGCAAAAACAATCACAAACATGCGCAGAAGGGACTGTAACCTACCTTTAAGACAACCAATCACAACAACCCGTCAAAATAGTATTCAGTCTCATTTTTCAAAGAGAGTTCTCAAATTGAAGTTTGCTACATTTAGGATTTTTACAAAATATATCAAAATAGAGGAAATGGTGTTTCGAAGACTTCACATACAGATTTCGCGTGCAAAATTTTCCAAGTGGCTGCACCCTCATGAAACTTGCTACAGTTTCTTCTCGCTATTCGTAAAAACCGAGCACTTCCTCAAACGACATAAAACAATCAAATAGCCGCTACACTAGCCCACATGCGTTTCCAGAAAGTACTACTTTAATTAAACAGCGCTCTTGGATGGGCCATGATTTTGCTACTTCTTTCGTCCACTACTACATGTTAGCATTTTGCAATAGTTTGAACCGCATAATTGAACCACTGGCAGAATTCACTCCAATCAATTTCTTTTCCCAATCAATCTCTGTTTGTCGTTTCCACGATTGTTCGTCCTTTTTTTTTCAACAGTCACTTCCACGATGTCCGAATTAACCATCGCTCCAACAATTTTCAGGGAATGGTGATCATCCTCTATTGGTCAATATTTGGGAAATCTTTACACTTCCCGAGAATAACTTGTGCAATTAAGTTGTTAATTTTTTAAGCTCCGGAAGAAAATCCGCTTCATCCACGTCTTTATCAAATTTTGATTATGCAGCTCATCTGTGCCTCTAGCTAACTGGTCGAATTACTAAACATTATATCAACTCCATAACAGAAACATCACTTCCACGTTGCATGAAACTCCAACAAGTGAAATCTGCCACAAGTTCGGATAAAACCATAATGAAACCAGAGGTTGTCCTGTATAGTGCCGGGCAATTCAAATTTCAGGCTGCATGGATACAATAGGGATTTCCATTGCTTCCGTGATTCGATATAAATCAATTTTAATACATTACAGATAAACGACTTGAGCGGCCCAAGCTGGACCAAATCAGCTGGATTTCTGAAACGGTTACAAACCTCGAGGAAAACTCCGCCATTGCATTATACTGGCGACCAGGAAAAGGTTTCTGTAACTTTACCATCGCGAATAAACAAATGCTTTTATTATTATTATTATTATTATTATTATTATTATTATTATTATTATTATTATTATTATTATTATTATTATTATTATTATTATTATTATTATTATTATTATTATTATTATTATTATTAAGCAACATCAGAATTACTGTATTAGAAGAATGACGACGATTGCAATCCGAACAACGTATTATATATTTTGTTGTCGAAACAAGGAATGGATGAATCCGGAACTGTTAAGTGTTTAAACGTTGTACTGTCATTTTGTTATCTTAATAGTATAATTTTTGCATATATAATCAGTGATTTAAGTAGCCAGTTGTAAATTACCTTAAATAAGTGAGATTTGCAATTGTATATATAAGCTAAATATCCATTTAATAAAGTTTTCATTATTATTATTATTATTATTTTTTAAATCGATTCGTTCTCGATCTGGTGCCAGTGGTCTAACATGATTGTCAGGGTTGATAAGTGTTCAACATTTGGGATCAGGAAAAGTCTGACAAAATCTATCCAATATTTACCTAAACTTCTGATTAACAATGAATTGATACCTGCCACTAAAACGGGAGAGTCGTTTCGATACTTGGGGAAATATTTTGACTTCAGTATGTCCGAAAAAGAACACAAACAAGAGCTAATCACTCTCATGGACGACATTATGTCTGAAATTGATCTCAAACCTTTGCACCCGAAGAATAAACTTTTGCTTTATAGTCGTTACCTCCTATCCAAACTTTCCTGGCATTTCACTGTAACCACCTTATCAAGAACCTGGGTCACTGAAAATATGGATTCTGTGGTGAACAAGTACGTACGTAAATGGCTTGAAATACCTATATCAGGAACTCTATCTAACGTCTACCTTACCAGTAACAAGTTTGGTCTAAATATCTACCCGCCGTCAATTAAGTTTGCTCAGTGCCAAACAGTTGCTCGTAACGCCTTAAAGACCTCTCCAAATCATTCCATAAAAGACTTCTGAAAAACAACATCTGAAAGCAAAAACATTCAGTACGACGTTTACACCTCGACAAAGGAAGTCCTTAAAACTTTTACCTCCGGACAAGAAGACAAACTGCAGAATCATCTGATTTTGCAAGGCTCCTTCTTCTCAAATTTCATTAAGTTTTCACTGTCGAAATTAAACAGCATATGGTCTAAATCACAATCAAACCTCCCAAAGAACATCTATAACTTCACCATTCGTTACATCAATAACTCACTTCCAACTCGTAAAAACCTTACTAAATGAGGAATATTGTCCAACTCTGATTGCTCCTTCTGCTTAAACCCTGAAACCCTTTTACACGTAGTTGCTGGATGTCAAACGTATCTCCCACGATTTACATGGAGACATGATTCTGTTCTGAACTTCATAGCACAAACGCTACAACCTGTAAACAACTCCAATCTTTTCGTCGATCTTCCTGGTTATAAAAGCCCATCAATTGTAACTGGTGACACATTCCGCCCAGACCTACTTCTATCTATCAACTTGTATTGTCTCTATATCCTTGAACTTTCTGTTGGTTATGAGTCTAATCTACAAACAAATGTTGATCGGAAAAGAAGAAGATACGAAGATCTCATTACACAGCAAAAGAAACAATTTAAGTCCGTAAAATTTGTCAATTTGTCAATTAGTTCTTTAGGCGTCTTCTCAAAAGAATGTCATTCCTTTTTAGATATGTTAAATGATCTAGGTCTCGATAAAAGACACCAACATTTTGCTATCAGGAAAATTATGTCTATCGCGATTAGGACAACATATTATATATTTTGTTGCAGAGATAAGGACTGGTCAAATCCGGAATTACTGAACATTTAAGGATACTCATTATTAATATATAAATATTAAGTAGGTTCAAGTAGCCAATTATAAATTACCTAAATTAGTGAGAGTTATTATCGTGCTCAAATGGTTCCTTATATGTGGTTGAACTCACCACTGGTTATGAGACAAACCTCAAAAACAACGTAAAACGGAAGAAGGATAAATATAGAGAATTATTGAGACAGCTAGGTAAAAATTTTAACCAAGTTAAATTTATAAAACTCTCCATCAACTCTTTAGGAATTTTTGCAGAAGAATGTTATACATTTTTAGACATGTTAGAAAGTATTGGTCTTGACAAAAACCACCAAATGTACTGCGTTAGGAAAATGATGACTATTGCTATTAGAACTACATATTACATTTTTTGCTGCCGAAATAAGGAATGGGAAAATCCGGATTTACTAACAATTTGACTTATCTCATTGTATATATATATATATATATATATATATATATATATATATATATATATATATATATATATATATTGCATGCACTTTGTTCTGTTATTTTAGTTTAGTATAATTGTGACTCAAATAGCCAACCGTAAGTTACCTCATAAACAAGTCTCAGAACAAGCTGGCAAGGCCAATAAACTTTTAGGATATATTAAGCGAAACACCATTTATATCAAAGGTGTATCAATCAGGCGTACGCTCTATCTAGGACTGATTCGACTTCATTTAGGTTATGCCACCCAGGTGTAGGCTCCGCAGTTCGTCCAATTAATTGGTAAATTAGAGCGCATACAAAGGCGTGCAACGAGATATATTCTTTGCATACCATACAGTTCTAATGTAGATTACACTCTTCGATTGAAAAAATTGAATCTTATCCCTATTACCTCCTGGCATGAACTGCAGGATATGATATTTTTCTTCAAGATCATTCACGGACTAGTCATTATAGATCATACCGTTATACCTACGGCCAGAAACACCAGGTCGACCAGATCATCAGCGAGCAACGTGATAAAGTTTGTAGTGCCAAAATATAAGACAACCACATATCAGCGTTCTTACTTTGTACGAACATGTAGAGTATGGAACGTTTTGGCAGATGAACTTTGTTTGAGTACTAACAACCTGATATCTTTTAAAACAATCATGCTCAATTATTACAAAGCATCATTGTCATATTATCAATGGGACGTTCCGCGCTCTTTCAAAACAGTTTGCATCAAGAGTAATCGAGGACGTCCGCTGAACAAACCAATTTCTTGTTGCATTTAACTGTAAGAACATTCATTATTGTTTTTTTATAAACATTTAAACATAGGGCCCACGGTAATTGGCAACTGCTGTTGTGGTGACCCTGCCATTTTACTTACTAGGGTAATTTAGTAGTTTTTTGTATATGTAAAGTACGTCTTTTTCAGTGGCAAATTTAATAAAAAAAAAATTATTATTATTATTATTATTATTATTATTATTATTATTATTATTATTATTATTATGAAGTTGGTCTTGATAAAAAACATTAGAACTTTTGTGTTAAGAAAATAATGTCCATCGCCATCAGAACAACGTACTATATATTTTGTTGTAGAAACAAGGATTGGACCGATCCGGACTTGATGAACATTTAAGAATGAGCTTTCTCCTAGTTTTATACCTGTAATATAGTTTTATCAATAATTAATAGTTCAAGTAGTCAATTATAAATTACCTAAATTAGTGAGATTTATAATTGTATATGCATAAAATGTCAAAATAAAG